CTCCGACCTCGTTTGAGCCGGTCTCACCAGCAACCCCGGCAGGACTCGAACCGGAGTTCCGTCAGTGCAGTGTCTCGCATCCACACTGTGACAGGGCAGGTATGCACTTCGAGCAAAGTGACATTTAACAAAATAATCGGCTGGACCACCCATTTTCCGTTTGTACGTGTGCCATTGTGGCAAAATTGAACCACCACTCCAAACTCACCTCAACGAAATGGGGTGAATGCATCTCAAATAACTGCTCAAACGGTAGAAATAAACTGAAAAGCGCTCAATTGAAAATGTGAAAAGACCAAGTTGGTATGATCGCAGTCTCCTTTCGATGTCTACAACTGGGTTGACCTTGTTGTCAAGGCGACTTCGCAGAACGCATCATAGTCGCCCTGGCAACAAGACCAAGTTGCGAGAACTGGGTGGAACCGATACCAAAATAGCGCTCAACTCGGAGCCGGCATTGTTGTACGCGGGAGGGAAAGTGGATATGCAATAGTGTCGTGACGTGGAGCAGAAGATTGCTCCGGCCAGTGGGGACTTTTGTCGCCTACCGCTGGAAAAGTCGAGTAGCAGTTCGCCGTAGAGTGTGAGGTATGGAAACAAGATGACCTCCTTGACGACGTCCAGGCTGAACACGTTGCGTCGTGGCTCCATTATGGCGTAGACGGCGACGCCGTACGAGACCACGACGACGGCCAGAATGTAGACGAAGGTGAGCAGGTCGGTGACCATGTTTTTTATCATCACCAGCTTCGGACCGAGCTTTTGGTTGACGGCGTAGAGTCGGAAGAGTCGTACGTAGAGAAAGATCACTTTGGGATGTGGAATGGGGAGGATGGGCAAGATTAGCGTTGACACCAGCTCGGGGCTGTGGGAAATATTGTCGGTTTGTGAGCAGGTTTTCGCGACTGCCAGTCAATCGGATGAAAACCTACTCAAAAAGAAAAGAATGCTACAGCAGATGTAACTTTGCTTCATCGACAATCCCACTGGAAGATGGGACCTTTTTTCACATTCACATCTGCCCAGTGACCCAAGGGTGTCGAGATGCTATTAAGCGCTGTCAGGGTTCGAGTCCCGCTGGAGGGGGAGAGGGTTGATGAAGCCAAGTGAGGCAAGCTCGAAACTGCCGTCCACTCCAGCCGGGATGTGAAATGGCCATAATTTGGGCAAAATTCATATATCTGTCCCGTCACATCGTTTATGTGTGTGGGAAATGTGGAGGTACAAAAGAAAATGCTCAAGAGCCGAATGTGGCCACAAAATAGGAGGATAGTCACATGCTTGACCAATCTTCTGGTGATGAGCATTCTACTATCACACACACACACACACACACAAACACGCGGGAAAGATATTCACTTCAAATGCAAGTGATCTCAACAATTGTGAACCAAGTAATTTTCGATGAGATTGGACGAACACCGATTGCCGATTATTCAACTAATTACCCAATCTTTGCGTTTCAAGGTGTCGAGGTGAAAAATGTGCTGGTCAGGAGGGATCGAGTTTTGTTCTTTGCGGCATTCTGCAATTGCAGTCTCGAGAAACGTTTTTTCATCGCCCCTCGATGAACTAGTCGACTTTGATCAGCGAAAAGTGTCGCGTTTTGCTGTCTCGAATAGTCCCAGCTGGCTGGTCAGTTCGAATGTGGTGGTAAAAATGGTACATTGTTGTGTGGAAAATAAGTCGGATGAAAGCAAAAGAGATTATCTCTCAGATAATCTCAACAAAAAATGCTCCGACGTCGCCACCTGATGAGATCGAGCTTCGAGTCTCGTCATCGCCTTCACCAACTTTCAACAATCTCCTCGAAACTCAACTTGTCTCCGCGTCTACAAGCCGGACTGTGCCTCAAAAGGGCACAGAACATGAGCGATTCTGGCCTTGCCGACAGTTGCCGTCTCAACGGCCCCTCGGACTCGGTCCCGGCGAAGCGCAAATTGGTATCCGCGAGGGTCGAGCTCGGACAATCCGAAGGATCGGCTGAGCACAAATTTGCGTTGACGTGAGAAGCGCAGCCTCCATCTGACGCTTTCGATGCATTTTGCACAGACTTTCTTTCCCGAAAAGTGTTCTCCTTCCCTTCGTACCTCATCTCGCCTGGATCTTGGCAACACCTGAAGCGGGACTCGAGCCATGCCGGCGCAGTGTGCCAACTCGACGCGTCAACCGTGACGCCGCTGGGCAGATGCGAATTTCACAGAAGGTCAGACAATCTGCTCTACCACATTCTTCGATGCGCTTGTCGACGAAACAAAGTTATATTTACGAGGAAAAGTAGGCCTCAGAGGAACCTCTTATTTCATACTTGTTGAGCTTACTGCCGATTCGAGCGAAAGTGTGAAGAGATTTCAAGGTCGGTCGGTTCCACCAGAAGACGACGGCGAATTCTTTTTGACCAGCCGCCGATTGGCTTTGCTGGTACATTCTTGTTGACGCTGTTTCCGAGGCAATCTCCTTCGATTCCGGTGAAAAGGTGCTAAGCTTTCGTCCATCATGTGAC